CAGACTAACTCTGTAAAAATACACAAGAAACTTAATACTGTATGTTTCTGATTAGGGAAATTGAGTGAAGGACAGGTGCTAGAGAGAAACTTCTCAGTGTATACTGTTTTGAGTCTAATACCATGTGCATATTTTATCTATATTTTAAAATAAATAAATACTTATTCTTTTAGGAATGCGGACATTAAGACAGTGGTTCCGGGCTTCCCTGGTGGCGCAGTGGTTGAGAGTCCGCCTGCCGATGCAGGGGACGCGGGTTCGTGCCCCGGTCCGGGAAGATCCCACATGCAGCGGAGTGGCTGGGCCCGTGAGCCATGGCCGCTGAGCCTGCGCGTCAGGAGCCTGTGCTCCACAACGGGAGAGGCCACAACAGTGAGGGGCCCGCGTACCGCAAAAAAAAAAAAAAGACAGTGGTTCCTTAAACAATATGATGAATTGGCTAGCCAGCTACTTCTTCCTGGCTCTCTATTTTTTTTCACTTGTCCTTAATTGTGGACAAAAGAAATTGTTTTCAAGTTAAACATGTTTCAGATATAGACTGGTGAGGGAGAAGTTTTTAAGCAGAAGATTTTCCTACATCTCTGAAATCCTGCCTTACCCCTCTGCTTAGGGAGAACCCATTGTCTGAGAAACTCTCCAGCTCACTGATCAAATTCTTCTCTGGCTCTAGAGTTGGCAAGTCAAATGAGTAATTTAGAGTTTCTAGGGGACTCTATTGGTCTTACCTCAGGCAGTAAGTAAACAGACCATCTTACTCAAATTCCTATTGTCCCAGTGAAAGTCACACAACTACCAGGAGGAAATTATTTTTTTATTATATGTCAGTCTTGTTCATCTATAAATGAGTCTCAGGTCTGCCATTAGGAGAAATTCATCAGTTTTCTTGGATTGAACACTTTTTATTTTAAACATCAATTTATCACTTGTATATAATGTTGTTCTATTTCTGCTCCTGTAGAAAAAAATCATTCAGTGAATCATATGGGTACACAGAAAGAGGACTGAAAAGGTGAAAGGAAGGAAAGAAGGAGATAAGAATAACAAGTGGAATTAAGGAAGACTTTATGTCTGGTGGGGAGAGGGCCTCCCATCATGCTTTGTGCCGTGCAAACCCCTAATCAGGTACCAACACTAGCAGCTGAGACCCATAGGTCATCACCCCACCTCTAAAGCCTAAGGCTTCAATTTTTACCTCAGCACTTGTCTGTTCACTGTCTATAAAATGATCGGCTCATGCCCTCAAGGTTTTTGCTGTGGAGCTGAGGAGACAGTATTTCAACAGAATTGATGCCATATGGAAAATCCCAAGTTTTATTTTGCACTTGTCTTTATACAAGTGCAAAATAAAATATTTAAAGCAGATGAGAAGCTTGCAATAGTGATAGGAACACAGGCTTTGGTGTTAAACAGCCCCAAGCTGGAATTTCATCTTTTCTACTTAGTAGCTGCAAAGACCTGGTCAAATCTGACCCTTCTGACCCTCCTTTTCCCTAACTGTACATGAGACTAATAACACTGAACTTGCTTAGTTGTTATGAGGACTAAATGGCACCAATGGGAAGTATGTGGCCTCTTTGTCACAGAGATGTTAAATAAGTGAGATGTTACCGCTTCCTTACTATGTGCTGGCATTGTACATGAAGCTTTATGTGTAGATAATATTGTTAGAACCATATAAAGATGGGGAAGCTGAGAGGTTAACAGTCTTCCCATGGCCAGAAGTAGCAGGGCCAGGATTTGGACTGAGAAGTCTGACTCCAGAAGCCTAGCTCATAATCATTTGTCTCTACAGCCCCTGTTCAGCATAAGCCAGCAACCCACCCACAGGGAAATGATTAATAGATTGCTTCTAGAAGAGATGCATTTTAAAAGAAGTCATTGGTACTGGTAGACAGAGTCACTGAGTTATCCAGGGTGGAGCTTTCTTTCTTTCTTTCTTTCTTCCTTCCTTTCTCTTTCCTTTCTTTCTTTCCTTTCTTTCTTCTTTCTTTCTCTCTCTTTCTTTCTTTCCTTCTTTCCTTTCTTCTTTTCTTTCTTTCTTTCCTTTCTTTCTTTTCTTTCCTCCCTCCCTCCCTCCCTTCCTTCCTTCCTTCCTTCCTTCCTTCCTTCCTTCCTTCCTCCCTTCCTCCCTCCCTTCCTTCCTTCCTCCCTTCCTTTGTTGGGTCTTCGTTTCTGTGCAAGGGCTTTCTCCAGTTGCGGCAAGTGGGGACCACTCTTCATCACAGTGTGCGGGATCGCACACCAGGGATCGAACCAGCGTCCCCTGCATTGTAAGGCAGATTCTTTATCACTGGACCACCAGGGAAGTCCCTAACAAGCAACTTTGCTTGAATAAATAGCTCAAGAGCATTAAAATTAGGAGGATACAATGAGCAGATGAGAATCAGGTGTATAATCAACTCCAAATTTTTATTTGAAATAATAAAGGTCAGTCTTTCATCAATGACCCACTATTTCATCTAATCGCAATTTTTTTCAAAGCAAGAAAGAAGTAAAATTTTAATATACCTTTGTCAAATAGATGTCTAAAATATCCCAAACCAGTGTCTATTTTACTATCCTGTTCTATGCTATGAACTATATAAGTTTTGAAATATAAATCTTTTTTTTCTCCCAATTCACTAGCCCACATTTCTAATTTGGTCCCTACCCCGCACCTCTGTCACCCCCAGTTAATGCAACTGTCCAGAACCACAGTTTCATAGAGCACTTTGGGCACACGAGGGCACATGGTAAGAAATGTGACCTTCTATTGACAGGTCAGAGTGCCTCACATTTTCTTGTATTTTCACTGATGACTTTAAGAGAAGCCACAACTGTAGTCAAGTAAAAGGAAAGAAAGAAATGGAGTTTTCCATCTAGAAAGACTCATGGACCTAAACCAGATCATTGGCAGTGAATTCAGCATTTATTTGAGCCTATTAACAGTATTTATTTTATGTATGATAGTTCATTGAGCACCCAGAAAGTATCTAAGAGATTTGGATTCAGGCTACTTTTACTGATTAAAAACTCCAGTGGGTCTTTTTCTTCCGTTTGAGTATGAACGAAGAGAAATTGCCCATTTGACTTTTGTAATGTTCCAAGATCAAAGGAGTTTATGCTGAAAATTCAGCTCTGTAAAAGCCATGTGTAGCATAAGTTCAGTCGGACTCTCCCAAAGCCAGTGAAAACGGGGCATTTGGCCACCAAGCTTTGAAAACCAGCATTACAGAGGGTGTAACCAGGAGCTTGCATTAATTTCTCCCTGAACTAGCTTCATGAAAATGGCCCTTAGTGTCATCTTGGCAGTGTTGTTGGGATCGCCTGAAGCCACTGACCCAGCAAATTTCCTTGAAATCATTCCCCTGAAACAGTGCAGAGAAACAAACTCTTGGCAGTATAAATGCTCCCTGGGTCTGGAAATTTCATAAGTCAGAGTTAAAGCAAAGAATGGTCTAAAATCTATTGCTGGTACAGAATCTGAAATGTAAATTGTCTGGATCAAGGAACCCTTCCCGGCTCTTCGGAGCTGCCTCTCTAACTGCTATAATAATAAAGAATGTTTTCAGAACTGTGTGGTGATAAAATGAAAGCATTTATTATTGGGAAGATATTTGGAATCCAGATGGGTCATCTGGTTAAAGACCTCTGATTTTCTTTGGTTGTTTCTCTACTAGAGCATTTGTACAGGAAACTTTTTTTTGAAAAGTAGGTTTGGTTTGGAGGTCTTTACCTATCTTATATTTTTGCAAGAAATATTTCATTTATTTACTTCAAGTCAATTTAATTCTAATTCTGAGACTCCATGCTTCTGGACTGAGGTGGAATCAACCTCAGTCATTTTGGAGGTCCATTGGCTCTCAGGGTTCTGGTTCTGTCTCAAAGATCCCCAACACTGGGGCCCCTGCGGTCATTGTCATCAGTCCACCCTGGTAATCACCAAGCCCATGCTTACCCAGGCCTGCATGGTCTCTTCACATCCGAAGTCCTGCCGCTTCCAGGCCCCAATGCTTGGGACTCAGGACTTCTTTCAAGGTGGGATCCATTATGCCTGTAGGCCGCAGCCCTTGACCATTGTCTGCAGGGTCTTGCAACCTGTGTGTGGGCTGGAGGGGCAGGGAATGGGAGGGCACTGGGCAGTGCAGGGCTCAAATCCTCACTTCTCAGGGACCCACAGACCTGTTTCTAGTCTCCATTCAAAAGCACTTTTCCTCTCCAGTGGCCCGCCAAGACACCTAGCACCTCCGTTACCACCGTCATTTCAGTGCCCTTCAGTTTTTTTGTTTTTTGGGGTTTTTTTGCGTTACGCGGGCCTCTCACTGTTGTGGCCTCTCCCGTTGCGGAGCACAGGCTCCGGACGCGCAGGCTCAGCGGCCACGGCTCATGGGCCCAGCCGCTCCGTGGCATGTGGGATCTTCCCGGACCGGGGCATGAACACGTGTCCCCTGCATCGGCAGGCGGACTCTCAACCACTACGCCACCAGGGAAGCCCCAGAGTCAGGATTTGAAACCACAGTGTCTTACACTTAGGTCTGTGAATGCCCTTTCCCCTACTGCCCTCCAGGGCCGGTTCATTCCCCTAAGTTCTTACCTTTCATTGTCCAAGTAATGAGGCCTGACAAACCCCCTTCATCAGGCCACACTTCTATGCCAAATTCTTGAATACCAATAAATACCTGAAACCATGTTTCAAAATATACCATAAAATGTAAATAAGAATGAGACATCGTTCACCTCAAGTGTATACACAGCAGCAGTGTACACAGTTAACAGTAAAAAACATGGGGGAAGTTTAACTTGAAATATTAGGCAAAACCAGTCCTAAAAGAATGAAATAATAAACTTAGGAAAAATTGATTATACCTCTGAATATACCAAAACTGTGTATTTTGTTTAGGTCAAATAAAATATGGCTTTATTAACAAATAGCAAACTATGGGTTGCTGCCTATGGTTTGGTTGCTGGCTTAAGGAAGCATTTATGGTTGTTAAAAATTAATAAGGATTTGTTTTTTATAGGATGCTATAGTTATACATGAAGTCTATGAAGAAGGGGCAGCAGCCCGAGATGGAAGACTTTGGGCTGGTGACCAGATATTAGAGGTATGTGATTATGAATTCTATTTTATACCAGCAAATATGGTTCCTTTAGTGACCTTGATCCACAGTCAGTTTACCTATTCACTGTCTTCTACTCAGCTATATCCTTATTATTTCTTTCCCAGTGTAACAAAACATGTACTTTATTCTTTTTTCTTTTTTTGATGTACATCAAATAACTATCATTAGAATCATGACAGATTACCAACCTAAATCTGTCTGTGAAAACTTTCTTTAATTAAAGGGGAAAGTACAACTAAAGGTTCTGTAATCAAATGAAACTGTATAGTATTGCAATTTGATTTTTTTGCCTCTCCACCTTACTAAATGCCCTTCTAAAAACACATATGTATAGACACACACATAAACATGCACACCTGATATTTTAAAAGACTTTACTGCAGCTTTAAGTATTATTTTCTTATCCCTAATAAGTATATTTATGTCAGCTGGAGGTCCACGCCGTGGCACCTTAGTTTCCTAGCTGATGAAAATGTAGAATCTTCTTCCTTTAGGTGGCATGTGGTAGTTATTAAAAATTGAAATGCTTAACTTGCCTCTTTTAAAAGGGCTCTCATTTAAGCAAAGGTGTTAAAGCCTTTTAAAAAGAGCCAAGGCAAGCAGTGTCTGAACTAGGAAACGGATGAATGGAAAGTCAATGCCAGGCATTCTGGTAGGTGGAACTAAAGAGCTTTTTCAATGGTGTGAAACCTTTAGGCAACATTTATTTCTTTCATTGGATGAATTTAATTGAATAGTTAACATTTTATGGTGGGCATGTGCATTTTTGCTTTGCAGCTTTAATGTAGCACATTATAAATGACATCATAGAATTTTATTTTTCCCTTTGGTGGTTCAAGTCTGCCTCCCAAGATGAAACCAGAGTTATAATTAAAGGTAGAAAACATAGGCAAGAAGGGGTTAAAGGAGAGGCCAGGCTGAGTGCAAATTAAATTCAGGGCAAGTTCTAGGGTTTCTCTGCAGGCCTTTACTGTGCTGCATCATTGGATTAGGACATATTCCCAGCGCATTCATTAAGGTGCAAGTGTATGAGGTTGGAAAAATAAATGTATCCTCTTTGGGAATTGACTTGACTGTTTTAGCATACAATACCATATTTTAGTGGTCAGGAGTTTTGAGGGGGTTTTTTTCCTCCCTAGATTTTCTAATTAACTGGTGCTATCATAATTGGCTTTACAGAGGAATAGATTGAATATTCCGAAGAGTACAGATGCGTACATGTCTTGATAGTTAACATAATTTGTAAGCCCACAGATTTTTCTGTAATGGACACGTGGGCCTAAATGTAATATGTGCATTTCTTGTTTATGGCGATGTTTGCACAGGTATAAGTTCACAGTATAAATCTTTAAATATGTAGTGTTTATTTTATAGCAGTTATACCTCAATAAAAGAAAAAATTTTAATTTATCTATCTGTATTGAATAGACCCTCAGCTGTAGCTGCTGTCTTCCATAAAATATATTCATGTATAAGTGAACACTCAGGACAGTTAAACATGAAGAAAGCAAATTTGTTTTAACTGCAAGGAGAATTTGAAAGGTCAACTAAACCATTTCCTGGCATCTGGCCGAATTGTATTACCCAGTGTGGATGGATGGTCTACACTACACTTCTCATTAAAGATAGCCAGACAGGCTCTTCTCTTGCCCCAGACAGGATCTTGTCCACAAAAACATACTGTGTGTTTAGTTAAGAAATGCAGCTCTCAGGTTGGTCAAGGAACATGTTTCCCTTCTAAGCAGCTTTAGATTCCACATTTGAACTTGTTCCAATTGTGGCTGCTGTGTACAGATACGTAATGAGGCATTGTCAGCCTGGGGCCTGCAGGTTGCCTCGAGAAGAAGACAGGCCAGCTTTGGTGATACATTTTGAGACTGTACTTTTTCCAAACAATGGCTTTTCTGCTCATGAGAGTCCTCTGCCTGGTGCAGGCTGGCCTTCCATGGTTTTATACTATCCTCATGTTAAATGAGGACAAGCCAGGTTTTGCTTACAAAGATATAGTCAAATAATTTTTTAGTCTGGTAAGATTTATGATTCTCTGATTAACATGGACTGTCTTCTTTCTGGTTCTTTTTTAAGTTTCAGACCCTCCTCTTACCCTACACCTATTCCCATTATCCCCTTCTATTTTTGTGCAAGTGGGAGAAGAAAGAGTAGAGGGCTAATGCCTGGTTTTCCCTGTGGGGTAAAATAGTAAGAACTGCTGCCCTAGTTTGGTTATTCTTTCCTTCCAAAGCAGCACTTCACCCATTTCCCCGAATTCCTGTCCTCCCCAAGGGACATGATATACTCCCATTGACAACTGGGGCTCCCTATGGCCCTTCTCAAATAGGGAACCCTGCTATTACCACTCCTACCCCTCTACAATCAATGTTCTAAATAATGCATCTGGTGCTTATGTAAGGCACTTAAGGTAATACATCACTGCACAATATTCTAGCCACACAGCAATATTTCTCTTACAATTATTGGTACATTTAATGGCATCTCTTGATAAGCAGAGGAGAAAATGAAAACTGTGAACTTGGAACAGATCACTTTGATTTGACCAGACATCTTGAAGCTGGCATTTAGTGTGAATTGCTTTTGTAATATTAGAGTTAATGACAATGCTTTTAATTAAAAGCATAATTGTTAGGGCCTTTCAAAGGGTATTTTAGAGGCTTAGAGAACTCACCTTCAATCGTGGAGGTAACTTTTTTTCAGTTGAGTAGCAGAAGTGGTCTTGTGTGCCATCTGTTGGAATACAGGAAAATAATCAGCTCAGACCACATTTTCTGGAGACATTGTTTTCCCCTTTGTCTGTGGGTTTACCTCACACACAGTGAAAGTGCATTCGTGCGCCTGAAGTAACAGTGAATGCTGGCACTGAGAAAATACAGCCCTGACTGCAGTTACTACAGTTCCTTTTAAAAATATCAATTCCTAACTTCTGTCAAGCTTAACTGTATGCCAAGCCCTGTGCCGAATGTACTACAGGGTTTATTTCATTTAATCTTCACAACACTACATGGATATTATGATTATTGTTATTATTGTTATCTCCAATTTGTGGAAGACAGAGTTGAAGCTGGCCTTGAGTAATCTACATAAGGTTTCACATAGTAAGTTAAAATCAGCACTCAAACCGAATTCCATCTATATCCAAAACCCCTGCTTCAACACTGTTATTCTGGGTGTAGTTAATCTAAGTGAGTTCACAGACCCACCAAGATATACCAGAAAAGAAAGAGCAGCTTGAAAATTTGGCTTTTAAACAATTTCTTGACTCACAGCATCAGCTTTAAATAATAGCTCAAAGGTCACCTTCTCCAAGAAAGGCTCATTCTTCTCTTCTCCCTTCTCTGTAACCATTCTCTGTGCATGAGTCCTGAGTCTTTGGAATGTTAGAACTGGAAGAGCCTTAGACCAGCCCCTCATTGTACAGATGAAGGAATGGAGGTCCAGAGGTAGGCTTGACCTGCTCAGGACACCCAGGGACGGACCAAAACACAGACTGAAACCAACATCTTGAGAGAACTCTGTCATCCACCTGGCCATGGCCTGGGCCCATCCTTCCCTTGGTTTGGCTCTTTTCCTAGCTGGGACCTTGAAGAAGTGACCCATGATTCCCTTCATTTGAGCCTAGGCTACTCTGCCTCTTAATTTCCCCCTTGTCTCATTGAGTTACCAACATCAATACTTGATTTTTGCTGTGTCAGGGAGCTCCAAAAACCCATTCTAAGAATAAGGTGAGGCAGCATGGTATAGAGACTAAGGGTGGAAAGATAATCTGGGTTCAAACTGTGGCTCCTCCATGTACTAGCTTTGTAACCTTGGTCAAGTCACTTAACCTCTCCATGCTTCAGTTTCCTCATCTGTAAAATGGTAATAGTATCAGAGAGTTAGTGTAAGATTGAATGAGGAAATTCTCATAAAGGGCTAATACACAAGCATTTATTAAGTAAATCAATAAGTTGGCTATGATTTGCCATTTAACAGACAAGGAAATGAGTTTACATGACTTGCCCAAATTCACATGATTTTCTAGAAGCGGGACCATGGTTTTACTCAGTGCTGCTTCCAGCATAGTCTGCTGTCTCATGCACGGTCCTGTCTGTGCTCACTCAGATACAGATTCAAATGAGTGGACTTCAGGGAGTCTTTGACACTGTCAGAAATACCAGTCCCTCATTTCCTTCTGGCCTGTTCTGAAGTAGTGATGATGTTAGCAATTAAGAGTGAGGATGTCAGGGCTTCCCTGGTGGCTCAGTGGTTGAGAGTCCGCCTGCCGATGCGGGGGACACGGGTGTGTGCCCCGGTCCGGGAAGATCCCACATGCCGCGGAGCGGCTGGGCCCGTGAGCCATGGCCGCTGAGCCTGCGCGTCCGGAGCCTGTGCTCCACAACGGGAGAGGCCACAACAGTGAGAGGCCTGCGTACAGCAAAAAAAAAAAAAAAAAGAGTGAGGATGTCAAATTCAATCAGCAAACTGAGTCCAAGAAATGCTGACCAAATACTAATGTTTATTTCCCCTTTGACCTCAATTAAATGAGCCAAGTAGTCCCTGCTGTCTCATGTTGAGTTCACAGTAAAGTTCACAGCCACCTAAAATTGCATTATCATGTGTACTAACCCACCCTCTATGCTTATTTGGGGTGGGGGTGTGTAAGGATTACGGCCTTTGTATCTGAAGCAGCTTTGACTGCTATTGGTCGCTCCCTGTGTGCTTTGGGAATGGCTGGACATTTCTGGAGGTTTTTCACTGGTTGGGTCAAGGAGCTCCCCCAGACAGAGAGGCCTCTGCTGTCAGCAGCGCATCTTGGATGCCCGTCATTCCAGGTTAATGGGATTGACCTGCGGAGCGCCAGCCACGAAGAAGCCATCACAGCCCTGAGGCAGACCCCCCAGAAGGTGCGATTGGTGGTGTATAGAGACGAGTCGTACTACAGGGATGAGGAGAACTTGGAGGTTTTCCCCGTGGATCTGCAGAAGAAGGCTGGCCGAGGCCTGGGCCTGAGCATCGTTGGGAAGCGGTAAGGAAATGCTGTGAAGGTCAGGATTGATTGGCCTCCTTCCTTCAGAGTTTTAGGGGCTAAAGCCTATAAACACTGAAAGATAAAGCTTAGTATAAACTAATGATATGATTTCTAAAATTAACATTTTTATGAATACTTGAACAAGATAGGTCATGTTTCTGAGCAAGCCCAAAAGTGTGTTATATAAAGATAGAACTCTAAGCCCAGTTGACCCAGACTGTTCAGACTTTTATCCCCATGGAGAGTAAGAACAGAGTTTCCAAGGTTCTTTCAACTTGGAGTCACTTAGATCTGAGGCTTGCAGGGGTTAATTAAAGCAACCATACCCAAGAAACAGCTGATATCAAGAAAGAGATTTATATATACAATGTTGGGTTAGGAAAATTGCTTTGCCATAGAGTACCATGTTAATTTCATACTCTCTTAAACTAGTTGAGTAGTTCCTGAGACTAGCTGAGTTGACATAGTCGACAGACATAGATTCTTCATGACTACAGTTTTCTATTAAGATGGATGTCCCCAAAATAATAGCTTGCAGTAAAAATGTAGGTAGATCCTCATGGCTAGGCTACTCTTTTGAAATCTTTGCTGCTTACCCGTGTGATAGGAATTGCAGTAATTACTCCAGAATAATATTAACAGGTTAGAGAAGTAAGTAAGATTTTGAAACTGCAATTCTAGCTTCCACAGTTTACTGGCTTTAGATATCAAGTGTGTATTTATTCCAGCAGGGCTGCAGGATTTTCATGTGACACCCCAATATAGCCTTAAATGGCATCAAACATATTCTTAGGAAGAATTGAAGTTGGTTTTACAAATATTGTGTCATGTGCCCTCACAGATCTCTGATGACTAGCCTAGTGGTTTTTTCCAGCAGTCCAAGCTGTTACTAAGATACTAGCTACCATTTTTGAGCACTGATTTTTGCGCCACGTACTGTGCTCTCATGATCTCTTTTTTACTTCAGCACCATAAAACCGTCAATTTGGAAATGCATTATGAAACCAAGGAGCTGAGACTCATATTTCTAAGCAAACTCAGTGGACATCTGGGTACAGAGCAACTGACAGAGCCCTTGTTGAAGTTTGCTTTCTTGCTGTGATGCACACACGTGCCTGGAGAGATTCCATTTAGAGTAATGGTTTTTCCTTTATTGTCTTGTAGTGGATTGATGAAATAACCCTCATACAACACCAGCATTTTAGATTGAGTTTGTAAGGAACATTTACATTCCTTAGCACAAAAGGTTTCATTATAAAAGATAAGATGTAGGGACTTCCCTGGTGGTACAGTGGTTAAGAATCTGCCTGCTAATGCAGGGAACACAGGTTCAAGCCCTGGTCCGGGAAGATCCCACATGCTGCGGCCCGTGCGCCACAACTTCTGAGCCCACATGCCACAACTACTGAAGCCCGTGTGCCCAGAACCTGAGCTCCGCAATAAGAGAAGCCACTGCAGTGAGAAGCCCATGCACCGCAACAAAGGGTAGCCCCTGCTCACCGCAACTAGAGAAAGCCCACGTGCAGCAAGGAAGACCCAAAGCGGCCAAAAATAATAAATAAATAAAATAAACAAAAACCCATCTGAGCTAGAATGAGTTCATCTTTAAAAAAAAAAAAAAAAGATAAGATGTATAAGCTCTCAAAATTCACAATTCTTTGCCTAGCAGTTCCACGACTAGGAATTTATCCTAACCATATGCTTGTAGATATGTTATTCACTGCACATAGTTTGCAGTAGCTAAAGAATGGAAATAACCTACTGATACATGTCCACCAATAGTTTACTAATAAATGAAATTAAGGAACATTCATAGAATAGTATGTAGCCATAGAAAGAAAACATTGAAGAAGCTCCAAGTGCTAATAAAGACCAGTTGCTAAGGTATTAAGTGAAAAAAGCAAAGTTAAAGAAAACAAAACTGGAGAGAAAAAAGGAGTGTATGTGCATGTATATCCATTTACAAGCATGTGTACTATACCCACATGCGTTTGCTTACGTATACACAGAATATCTCTTGGAGATACCCAAGAAATGAGTAACATTGGTTACCTCTGAGAGGGAAACTTGTGGACAGGTGAACAGAGATGAGAGGTGAACTTCCCCCCCCACCCCTTTTTAACCTCTTGAATTTTGAGACATTTATTTATTCATCAAATAAATAAACATAATTAAAACCTTAAAGTAATGAAGGCAGGGAAAG